TTCGTGACATACTTTTAAGACAGGTTGTGACAAAATAGCTCAACACTATCGATTCGTGTGTCGAACATCAAACTGCTAGATCTGGTTGTAAATGTAAAATGAGGGCTATGATGTTGGATGTTAGAGGGGCTGTGATCCCACTGTTCGGGTTACATAAAGTCAGATTCTTGCCCTATACACAGCCCTAATCAAGAAAAGGTAAGGTTTTTATTAATATATATATTTTGGGGGGCTTTTATTGCCTTTAATTTATGATGACAGCTGAAGAATGATAGGAAAGGGTGGGAGAGAGAGGGGATAACAAACTCGTTAAAGTCCTGCATTCAAAGCATTTTCAGCAAAATGTATTCAAAGTATGAAAATTGAGCAGTAAACTAGTCCCTGAAAGTGTTTTACTATTATATATGATGCAATTGGATTAATATTACTGCTGTATTAATAAGTATGTTGCATTGGGGCGGCTGTGGCTCAGAGGTAGAGCGGGTCGTCCCCCAATCAGANNCATTGTTTGCAGAGACAAAGATTTTAAGGTTGATGTGTGCAAGAAACCACAGATAGAGGTCAGTTCACTGTTTTCATTTACAGCTTTAATGTGTGGATTTGCTCCCATTTGAGGCTTATTTTTCTGCACTGTTTTCTGTCTGCTTTTCTTTTTTGTTCAGTGGAAGCGACATATCGAGCTTCTTCTTGGTATCTTACTGAGACTGAGGCTCCGCCTGCGGACAGCTCAGACCTGAAGACCAAATGCACGCTGGACACTAACGGACCCAAATCACATTAATTAGCATTTTGTCTGGCAGGATATTGCTATTTAGAGGCATCATGGCTTAATGCAATTACATCCTCATGCCTGTTTTTGTCATGGAACAGCCTACAGCCGCCTCGCGTGTGTCAAATTCAAAAACATATAGTACAATGTTCACTTCAGTGTTCTTCTGCTTCTCTCGGCCCACTGAGTTGTGTGTGTGTGTGTGTTTGGATGCACCGTATCTGATTACTTTTGAGTGGAGATGAAATGAAGCAGCTTGCTCCCTTGTAGGAGTAAATGATTACAGAATGTTTGTTGCAGGGAGCATCTTCATCCAACTATAACATTCAGTCTATAATAATATAAATAAATGAATCAAACCCATATTTTGCCATCCATAATATGTAAAGAAATAAAATATA